TCAGCTCGGGCCGGGACTGGAACCACTGTTGCTCAGAGCTCGCACTCTTGAGCAAGCTCTTAACCAACTGAGCCACTCGGCTGGCCCTCTTAGGGCAACTCTTACATTCTACCAATTTTCATGTTTCTATTTTTGTACTTGTACCCATTTAAAACCACAAATAGTACAGCTTTTGAAAACTGAATGTGTTGTTTAATACTAGCTATCCACCCACACCTATTAAAATGTTTATTAATGCATAAAAGCCTACAAACATCAAGCCACAGTGGATTTTAACAGCTTCCGTGTAAGTATGTGCAGTGGATGCTATTTTCCTCCCCATCTGAGATTGTTTGAAGTATTGAAGTGTATTTCTACCTTTCACTCATTAGAGAAAGTGGTTATAAATGGCAGCTGGAAATAAACTTCACCCAAAGATTTGAAAATGAGTTTACCACTTTTAAATTTTATTCACTGTGCTGGGAAGGAAAAATGTTTCCTCTCCCCTACTAGGTTCAGTTTCCGGGGCCTTATGGCTACACTAACAAACAACTGGGTAGCAGAAGAAAAACACACTATTTTTATTTACATTTTTTTTGCACTACAGTTCACAGAAAAGAAATGAAACTCAAACAGATTCAGGGGCTTATATACCATTTTAACAAAGGGAAAAGGATTTTGGCTTCAAGGGGTGATAAATTGTGAAGAAGCGACTAGGAAGTGTGTGGGGGAGCTGATGGAAGATCGGGGCTGTTTTAGTAAGGTCTCTACATGCAAGCTCATCGTGGTGTTGAGAACTCCCCATCTTCTTCCCTGACTCTTCTCTCTGGTGGGGGAAGGGGCACCTTCCTCATGGGACCTTTATACATTGCTTTTAGTTAGATAAGGGGTGCAGGGAACGCTTCCTGTGTCTGTTGGTTTTTCAGCTCAAAATCATCCTGATGCCAAAGGGGCATGTTTTGAGGTGGCATATTCTCATCTCCTTCAAATGGAAAGCAAAGAATATTATAGCTGAAACACGTGAATTATTTTTAATTTTATTTTTTACAAGTTCTATTTGTAAGAAACAACTGCTTCCTTGTTAAAAAAATCTGTTTTTATCATGTTTTCTGACACATGGACTCTTCCTGTCTGTTGCATTAAACTGAATTCTTTTTAAGATATTAAAGTAATAGACAATTATATAAAGTGTATTTACAAAAAAAGGAGGAAAGCAAGTCATTCATAATCCTACTATTAACAACTTTTTGCATATTTTCTTTAAAAGTTAGCTGTGCATATCTATTTCATAAAGTTTCATTGATATGGGGCACACATGTAGTCTGTCACTTCTTTAACTTAACATTATCACAAACATCCTCCATGTTGTTGCTTACTCACAGTCCTCATTACTTGGCAGCTGCAAAGTTTGCCTAACCATTCTACAGCTGTCAGACATCTGGGCTGCCTTTCCAGTGGTGCATTGCACCTCCAGCAGGAGGCAAGGCCCAGTTGGCCCCTCCTGGCTAGTTGGAACCTGGGCTTCCAAGAGCAGCTGTGGGCAGTTCAGAGGTCACGCAAGTCCCAGGCCTAGGCTGAGACCAGGTCAAGCAAGGCTTCTGGCTCCAGGCTCCCTTCATGCTCTCTCTCCTCAGCCCCAGCCAGTGATGGAGTTCCGCCCGTCAATCCTCCCAGCCAAAACTCCATCCCTGGCCCTGAGTCCTACCCACACAGAGGGCCTGCCCAGGGCCCTCTCCTCCCAGCTGCTCTCTCCTTCTGTCCTAGCTATCTGCAGACCCACCCGTGTGCAAAGGAGGGAGCTAGGCTGCCTGCCCTGAGCGTCATGGTCCTACTGCTATCCTCCGAAGTGCGGCAGCTGCTCCACAACAAGTTTGTCGTCATCCTGGGAGACTCTGTCCAGAGGTCTGTGTACAAAGACCTGGTCCTCCTGCTGCAGAAAGATTGTCTGCTCACTTCCAGCCAGCTCATGGTCAAGGGGGAGCTGAGTTTCGAACAGGATAAGCTGGTATATGGAGGCCAGAAGGGCCACATGCACAACCGCACCGACTACCGCGAGGTCCGCCAGTACTGCTCCGGCCACCATCTGGTGCGCTTCTACTTCCTCACGCGCGTGTACAACGAATATGTTCAGGCTGTCTTGAAAGAGCTACAGTCTGACAGCTACACCCCAGACATAGTCATCATTAACTCCTGCCTCTGGGATGTCTCCAGATATGGGCAGAACTACATTAGGAGCTATCAGGAGAACCTGGAGAACATGTTTACGCACCTACGCGAGGTGGTGCCCGAGTCATGCCTCGTGTTGTGGAACACGACCATGCCCGTTGGCCAGAAGATCACCGGGGGCTTACTCCGGCGAGACCAGCAGCACTTGGCCCTCCTTCTGGGAGACAAGGTGATAGAAGCCAACTTCTATAGCTCTACCGAGGCACAGAAGCACGGTTTTGATGTGTTGGACTTGTATTTCCACTTCCGCCACGAGCAGAGGCACCGGCAGGGAGACGGGGTGCATTGGAACCAATTCGCGCACCGACAGCTCTCCCAGCTGCTCCTGGCCCACGTGGCAGACGCCTGGGGGGTGGAGCTGCCCCACCGCAATCCTGTGGACAAGTGGATCAGGAATGGCCCTGAGAGTGAAGGACCTGACCAGAGCGCTGAGAGGCCGTCCCAGGCCAGCAGAGATCCACTGGCCTTACCCCTGATCCCATTGTTGCCTTCTCCCAGGAACAGTCCCCTGCTTCCGCTCCCAACCCCCCGCCCACCCCTGCCCCAGCTCCTGCCCCCGCAGCCTCGTCCCATTCCCTGCCACCCAGTGATGTCCCCCCCGTTGTTGTTCTGTCCCCAAGATACTGATTTTTCCTCAGACCATCATTTCCCGTCAGATCAGTTCTTTTTCAACTATTTCCCTTCAGATGTACCCCCATCTACCCAAACAGGATTTGACTTCCAAGCTGACTTTATGTTTGGTCCCCAGCTGCCTAGGCCCCCCTTCCCCACACCCTATTATCAGCAGCGGGCCCCTGTGGTTCATAGGGGTTTTCCCCGAAATCTACCTCGTGGCCCTTATGGGCCCTCAAGGCGGCGGCCCAGATCTTACAGGAGACGGGCCCCAGCCCACCCAGAGCCAAGGCCTCATTAGACTGACTTGGACCATTTTCCTCCTCATGGACGTGGACTGGACAGATCATGTGACTCTGCCTACACAGACTGATCTTGTTAACGTAAGCAGTTGATCCTTACATGGACTTCTTTTTGTTCATTGCTCTTACCAGTAATGGCAGAGAAGAGCAGTCTGAACCCATCTTTTTGGCTATGGCCTCTTCCTCCACTCTCTGGAGGCGACCACGTGTGATTTCTGCCTCTCCACTCCCTAGTCTCTTTGTCTCTTTGTAAACATAAAGTTGAAATAAAGAAGTTGTTTCACAAAAGTAGTTGTGGGTTTTGTGTGTGTCTATATTTAATGGTGCCTCGCCTTTCTATTGAACAATTAGTTTCGTAAGAGCAGGGATGATATCTGCTGAACAAAGAGGCAGGGCATCTGCTTGATAAACTACTCAAAATGAATTTGTCTAAAATAATTCTGAGGGTTTTCATAAGATGGATCGGATTCCTTAGAAAGAAACAAAAGAACTTGAACTTTTGTAGTCATATTTTCCAGGGATTCTCGAAGAATCATTGCATTTTAAAACTGGGGAAACTAAAGACATAAAATGTAACTAACATTTACAAACAGGAAACTGAGGCCAAGATCGGTGAGTGATTTGTTCTAGGTCACACAGAAAACCACTCCTCCACTGCTCTTCCCTAGTTTATACTGGTTTCTAGTTTGTATTAATGTTCAAAACACAAGACTGAGTTATGCCATAGGAACATCAAACCAAGAAGGGATGTTTACCAAACATGGTCCTTCTATGAAAATCATGGCAGAAAAAACTCCATCATCAGATGTTTAGTGGTTACATGTGCAATGAACTATATATGTAAGCTAGAGTGGATGGCATGCTGTGGCTTTATGATTTCATGAATAGTCTTGAATATTGGACTTGAAACTATTAGAGCTCTATGATTCACCAGTATAGAATAAAACTACCAGTTGGAAGAAGGGACTACCCAGTGCACAGCTCTGACAAATGGCAATGACCATCTCTGTTTTGTAGGAATAGCATCATGAAGACTGTTTAAGGGCTAGGCCTTTTGTCAATAGATTAGTGAAATGTTACTACTTAGATAAAATAATATTATCTGAAGGATAGTTTTTTTTTCATTGAATTTATTTGACTGGTTTATAGGTCCTCAATTGGATCATTTCTAAATTTGACAAGGAGGGTCAGGAAATGTCCTGCAAAAATGAAGTCCATGAAATCCAAAGAAATGGATGAGATCAGCTAGCTATGGAAAAAATACCAGCTTGCTTTTTTTTTTTTTTTTTTTTTTTTTTTATCTTTTTGTTGGGGAATTGGCGGAGGGGACCAGTGTTCGGGAATCGGGGAAGGGGAACAGACAAATTGCTGTCCTTTTTGTTCTTCAGTCTAGTTGTGAAGGACGTTGCTTCACTGGCCCATGTTGGTATTATCATTGCGTTCTTCCCAGGTGAGGCAGATTGGTCGCCAGCCTCTGGACGGTCACTCACAGCAGCTTTTGGCAGCTCACGCTGGCTGCCAGCCACTCACTCATGGTAGTTTATGTCAGCCCACTGCAGCTTCACTGCAGGCTACACAGTTGCTGGCGGGCGACTCAGGGCAGCCCAGCTCCAGGTCAAGCTGTTGTTCACCATCTTAGCTGTAGAGGGCGCAGCATCACTGGCCTTAATGTGGGATCCAAACCCGGGCCTTGCTGTTCAGAGCTGGCGTCCCAAGCCAACTCAATCAACACGCCACTCGGCCGGCCCAGAAATACCAGCTTTTAATCTACCAAAAATAGCTGTAAGCTTCCTGGAAAATAAGACCTTTTATCTTTGTTTCAAATCCTAGAACAAAGTCTAGCACTTAGTAAGTACTGAATAATGCTTCTTGAATGAATCAGTGAATGAATGACGAAATGGTGTGTGAATGTATTTCTGGTGAGTCTACAACCGAGTCTCTAAGGAGATATTGGGTTGTCGGAAAAGTCATGACATATTTTTTCTATGTTTTTCATTGCAAAAATGTGTCATGACTTTTCCGACAACCCAATACTAAATTGACATTCAATCATTGTAGCACATCTGAAGGAATATTGCTGAAACAGTGTTTTGATGACCTTCAAGGACTCTATAAAGGTAATGACTACAAGTCAGAATTTGCCAGAATGTCCCAGCAAAGTCAGGGGAGAGGGGTCCTGTCTGACCAATGTAAAGTTTCTAATCTATGGGAGAGATTACTGCACCAGACTGCGATTTGGTACCATCAGCCTTCAAGATGAGCCAGTTACCTTCATCCTGGCTTTGCATTTCCCAAGGAAGACAATAGTGGCATTTAGCTGTTGATCTGAGTAAGCCGATGCATTTAGTATATACATTTCTATGAATAAACCAATAAACTGGTGTTGTATATATTTCTCTCTTGTGAGTTGGGTTAGTATATATTGTTCCTCCTCAATCAAGTCACACTTGAACCACGGAGAATGGGTTCTTAGATATATAGTCCTGAGGACCTAGACTGTATCAGTGGTGAAACCACTCTATTATGGATTAAATTGCACCCATCACTAAACAGTCCCGTTTACCATAGATGGGTAGGAATGTGGGTAGATTCAGACAGGGACAATCTTCTCCTTCCCAGGTTTGTTAATTTCCTATGGCTGCTGTAACAAATACCACAAATTTGGTGGCTTAAAATGACACATATTTATCTGTATAGTCTGGAGCTCAAGCACCAAAATCCATTACCCCAGAGTATAATCCTTATTTTGTCCTATGCTAGTCTACATCATTAGGCTTCTGCCTGCCTCTGCAATGTTATTTTCTTTTTATTATTATTATTTGTGATAAAATACACATAACAAAATTTGGCATCTTAATCTTTTTTTTTTTGAAGTACGTAGTTCAATGGTATTAAGTACATTCACATTGTTGTGCAACCATAATCTCCTGGAACTCTCTTCATTGCTGTTTATGCTTTCAGGACTTTCTGTTCATACATGCCAAGCTCTTATAACATGGGCCTTTGCACTTGCTGTTCCCTTTGCCTGGGATGTTCTCCATCCCCTATCTGCTAGTTCTTTCGATATCTAACTCTTCATCCTCCTCCCACACCTCCCAAGTCACCTCCCAAGAGGCCTTCCATGATCATTTAATCTAAAAGCACTGTTATGATCCATCATAGCACTCTTTACTTGCTTTGTGTCACCTACCTCACTCAGCAGTGACCTTTGTAGTTGCTTGTTAGCCTCTCCAGCTAGAATGTAAGCTCTATGAGTCTTGGCCACTGTTGAATTCCCAGTGGCTACTAGCACAATGCCTGGGAAGATGTTCAAGTATATTTACTTTAGTTAAATGTTCAAGAACATAATTCATTCACGTTGTGTACTCAAATAAGAAGGCAATTTGTATTAAAATCTAGCTGTATTTGATTACTTTTCTTAAGAAAATGTCTACAGAACTCTCCCATAGCTTTACCTAAGTCATCCTGAGTGGCTAGCCCCTTGGACATTCCCATTCCCACTGAGGGGAAGATCCTGATAGCACTTCAGTCAGTGCTTGCATTTAATTTCATACATATCCTGGACTTTCTGTTCCACCTTAGAGCTTTCTTCTTTGCCCATTTTTGCTATTGTCACCTTGCTCCTTAAATCAAGAAGCCTAACAATGCAATCAAACTATTACCTGGTAAAAAAAAAAAAGCCATAATTATTCAACATTTATGAGAGAAATTATTGCTCTCTTGCTAAGACTTAAAATGCAGGACTCATACAGCCTAGTCTCCAGCCTCAAGAAATGACAGCACTCAAAGCTTTTTTTTTTTTTTTTTAAATTATATTTATAGAGATATGATTTGATATACAGAACGCAGTCTCTCTCTGTACATTAAGACTGGCCAAATTTTTTTTTTTTTAAGATTTTTATTGGGGGAATTGGGGGAATGGGAACAGTGCTGGGGAATTGGGGGAAGGGGAACAGACAAGTTGCTGTCGTCTTGTTCTTCAATCTAGTTGTGGAGGACGTTGCTTCACTGGCCCAAGTTGGCACCATCATTGCGCTCTTCCCGGGCGAGGCAGATCAGTCGCCGGCTTCTGGACGGCCGCTCACTGCGGCTGCTGGCCGCTCACGCTGGCTGCTGGCTACATACGGTAGCCCGTGGCAACCCACTGTCACAGGGGCTGCAGCCTACGCCGTCGCCGGCGACTCATGGCAGCCCAGCTCCAGGTTGAGCTGTTGTTCAGCATCTTAGCTGTGGAGGGCAGTGTCACTGGCCCTCATATGTGGGATCCGAACCGGGGCCCTCTGGCGTCCCAAGCCAGTTCTTAACCATCGCGCCACTCGGCCGGCCCTCAAAGCTTTTTATGCTTGAGATGCTTGTCTCAAGTTTTCTGGAAAAAGAAAAAAAAAAAAAAGTAAAATCCATGATTAAATTGACATTATTCAAGCAACATATGTTTCTCACAATATTGTATAATAAGGTAAACTATGTTACACCAAAGGCTGAGACTTGAAAGCTGTAACTATATTTTCCCATTAAGTACAAACAAAGCAAAGCCAAGCACTTGAAAACACATGGACTCTTACATCCTGCCACCGGAGCAGGATCAGCCCCCTCTCCCTGGTCACCTGCAGAGCTCTTGTCTGCCGGGCCCTAACATTGCATGACTCAGGAGGCAACATTCACGTTACCGAGTATATCCTGGGGTTGTATATAGCCACGGCTCCATCTCTGACGGCTTTGTGTTCGTGAACTCTGCCAAGGTGAGTTGTTTTGGAAACTTAGATCATTAATGCTCATGTCTGAGAAATGATTTACTATTGTTTTTAAAGTATTTTATATTTGTTTCTAGAAACACTATTCTCATTCCCACGACTTTAATAAAGGCGTCTATCACCGCATGCCTAATTTATAGATATATTTTGCCCAAAACTTTACCCATGAATCTTTAAAGAAGCATTTTCTAAACCATGCCCCTTGAGCCATACATATCTCTTTGCTCATGCATTCTATGGGCAAGGATGTCTACAAAAGGATTCATTCTATAATTGCCCTGTGTGGAAATTCACAATGAGTTTTAGTGGATTAGAGGCTCTGAGACGTTCTGCATGAAATAAACTTGATTAAATGTGTTTAACCTAGCGTTTCCCAGATTTATTTAACCACAGACCATTTGCATATGCAGCATCTTTTAAAAACATGTTTGGGAAAATATTGTTCTAGAGAATGCCAGATAAAATAGTTGGGGT